CACGCCCCGCCAAATTAGAAGCCATGGCAGACACTGGATGTCAGAGCTGCCTTGCCAGCATGGGCATGATAGCACGACTTGGACTGCAACAGAAAGACCTCATCCCAGTTACTATGCGTATGCACGCAGCAAACAACAACGGAATCAAGATCGTCGGCGCAGCTATCGTAAGATTCTCTGGTCAATCCAAAGACGGAAAAACGTTAGAAAGTCGACAAATCGTCTATATCACCCAAGACTCCAACAAGCTATTCCTCAGCCGCGAAACATGCACAGCCCTAGGAATAATTACCAACACATTCCCGACCGTGGGAGAAGCCCTGCATGTCGACAGCCATACTGATGACCCACCGAACAGACAATGCGACTGCCCTAAATGCCAATTACCACCACCGAAGCCCAAGGAATTACCTTTCCCGGCCACTAACGAAAACCGAAAACAATTAGAGAATTGGCTACTCGATTACTATCGGTCCAGCACCTTTAACACCTGTGACAAACAACAACTACCCCTCATGGAAGGCCCACCGATGCGCCTCATGATCGACCCGAAAGCTCGCCCAGTAGCCCACCATACGCCAATCCCAGTTCCTCTACATTGGCAGGACGAAGTAAAAGCCGGACTTGACCAAGACGTCGCACTCGGAGTCATCGAACCAGTACCGATCGGCGAACCTGTGACCTGGTGCCATCGGATGGTCATCTGCGCAAAAAAAAATGGGAAACCGCGTCGCACAGTAGACCTCCAAGCACTTAACAATAACGCCACTCGGGAGACCCATCACACACAAAGCCCATTCCACCAGGCAAGGTCCATCCCAAGTGGCAAGAAAAAATCAGTGTTCGACTGTTGGAACGGCTATCACAGCGTCCCTCTCCACCCAGATGACAAACACCTCACCACATTTATCACCCCGTGGGGTCGCTACCGATACAGGTCTGCACCACAGGGTTACATCGCCTCAGGGGACGGCTACTCGCGCCGATTTGATGAGATTGTCTCCGACATCCCCAATAAAACCAAATGCGTCGACGACACGCTTCTTTGGGCGGACAACCTCACTCAGAGCTTCTTCCAAGCCGTCAACTGGTTAGACATCTGCGGTCGCAACGGCATAACCCTTAACCCGGAAAAATTCACCTTCGGATCAGACACAGTCGAGTTCGCAGGATTTGAAATCACGGCCAACACGGTCCGCCCCTGTCAACGCTTCTTCGACGCCATCCGCCACTTTCCAACACCGACTAATATCACAGATATCCGCTCCTGGTTTGGCCTGGTTAACCAGGTCTCCTATGCATTCGCAGCAACCGAACGAATGCTACCCTTTCGTCAGCTGTTAAAACCTGGCGCAACATTCCTTTGGAACGAACAACTTAACACAATCTTTGAAGAATCTAAATCTGTCATCATTAAGGAAATCAACCAAGGCGTTCGTATATTCGACAAGTCACGTCCCAGCTGCCTCGCCACTGATTGGTCAAAAAACGGAATTGGCTTCTGGTTACTTCAAAAACATTGCGACTGCCCATCCGCTGAACCCTACTGTTGCCATACCGGTTGGAAAATAACTCTAGTTGGAAGCCGCTTCACACATGCAGCCGAATCTCGATACGCACCCATCGAGGGAGAAGCACTCGCAGTAGCGGACGCCTTAGATAAAGCCAGATTCTTTGTCCTCGGCTGCACTGACCTCATAATCGCCGTAGACCACAAACCTCTCCTCAAACTATTTGGCGATCGATCATTAGAAGACATCCCCAACCCCCGACTACGCAACCTCAAGGAGAAAACACTGCGATATAAGTTCCGAATGATACACATCCCAGGTATCCGCCACAAAGCAGCTGATGCGATTTCCCGCCACCCCACAGGTCCCACAAACCCCACCATGCTCCACCTCGAGGACGACATCGCCATGACAGAAGACCATTGACATTAACAACATTACCTTTATTAGTTACTGTTATATTACCACCTAGAACTCAGTCTTTACACAAAAGACCTAGGGGGGGATAGAGCATAGTGTTATACGTATAGAGCCTGGGCTCTAACCTTCATTGTTTTCCATCATTCGTTAACGAATGATGTACTTGTAATAGTCCGAGCTATCATCAATAAAGTGATCGCTTCGTGAAATAGATTCAGTCTTATTTACATTCAGTCGTACAGCGCGAGAGCATCATCAAAAGGAAAACATGTCGAATATCCTAAGTCGCTTCGTCTCGGGCGAGAGTAATCCTTCCATTCAGTCTAGCCACTGCAGCTCTACTTACAGCAAGTCAGACCTTATGCAAACATCATCCGCAAAGTCGACGTCTTCAGCACCTGAAATGACTGATCGAGCTAGCCCTGATGTCCAGTTTCGCATAGAAAACCAAGCCACAAATATCCAGATGCAAGCTCCACAATCGTTCAATTTCCATGGCTGCACAGTGTCAATCTTTAACAACAACTACACCACACAAGAATGATCGTTCCCACTTTCCCGTTGAACTTTTCTTCCCTTGGTAGTTGTTTCTTTTATAACATTTAAGAAGAAATCTTACTTACGAACTTTGGGCATTTTAAAACCAAACTGTTTGCTTCTGACCGTTGATCTCGCGTGTATTATACGTATTGTTTACATGTCATTTTATGTCGCGTGAGTGACGTTCGCGCGACCGTATAAAATTAAATTAATTAAATTATTTTTCGGTGTAATTGTGGTGTATCGATTATTTTCTCGAATTTAATATATCTAGGTACAGGGTGTATACTAAAACAATTAGACAACTCGCCTTCGTTGTCCATGAACGAATAGTCAACTCAGGCTTCGCCTTCGTTGACTATTCGCTCATAGACAACTCGGACTCGTTGTCTAATTGTTAAATAGAAACACGCTTCTCGACCAATCAGCACGCGCGTACTATAAATGTTATATTATAATAATGAAATATCACATTTCTTAGGGCGATTTCCCGATTCCCCCATTCCCCGATTCTCCCATTCCCCGATTCCCCCATTCCTCGATTCCCCGTTCCCCCTTTTAAAGATAGCCTGTTCCATGCGACAGATCGCGATTAAACTTCGGCAGTCGGAAAATCATCGGATGCAGTTTCTGAAGGCACCTACTTTTGCTGCATGTCCGAGTGCGCATTCCAAGGTCAGATGTCATAATAGTTATTTACGAGACGTCATCATTCGTTCGTGCTGAGTGAGAAATTAAAAAAAAGACTTTCCGCCAAACAGGCGGAAAGAGCGTTAGTATTCTCCACCTTGAATTGTTTAGACTGTCTCGTGAATCTAATAATATTAGATTCACGAGACAGTCTTATAAAATAACTGGAGGTAAAACTTCATGTGTTTTACCAGTCATTTTCATTGTTTTGCTTGGGTTCCCTGTACACTCACTTTTCTCGACATAACAAACGCCCCCATATTGGAATGAATTTATTCTCTAACAAGTAAACAAAAAGTGTTGAATTCACTCTTGAAGTAACTTTAATCTATCATTTTTCTTAAATATCTGATTGATTGTTTCAACTCATAATCATAGAAAAGTTTGATTTTCACTCTTCAAGTGGGAATGTCAAGCCTTGTGTCAGCAACAGTCTGCACCTGATTTACTTTGCTTTAAAATTTGATTGATAGCTCTATTGAAATGAGTAATAGATTATAGTAATAGAAAAGAATATTGTGTTAAGATGATCGTGAGAAACTCTGTGAATGAAGTGACAGGAATATTTGTACAAAAAGCCCGCACTAACATATTGTAGGTGAAGAAACTTAGCGGGCTTCCCGCCTGGAAATTTCCATATGGTAAAATTTACAGGATGAACATACGGACCACAAGATTGTGAGGAATTCAACGCATGAATGAATCAGCGCTTCCACTTTGAAGGAAATTTCCTTTTAAAAGGTTTTTTTGTAAGATGAAGGAAATTTGAAGGAAATAAATTTTAAAGGAAATTTGAGGGAAATTCTAGAAAAACGAAGGAAATTTGAAGGAAATATAAAAATTTTACCATATTTATTTAATATTTAGATCTTTTTGAAAAAAAAAGCGCAAAATAAGCCTAAGTCTGACTACATAGACCTTGCGCATAACACTTATTAACCGAAAAATAATTAATAAATAGAATAAATGCCATTAATTTACTTGAAATACTTCGTTTAATACTTATTTTGTATAAATCATAGTAATTGTGTGAAATAAATTATAATAATTACATCTAAAACATTCAAAGTACTAAAAGTAGCTACTTTTTCCCTTCACGCCTCTATATGCACGTAATTTATATAAATTTTTAAATGCAAGTTTTGATTCTTCATTCATTTAAGGTCAATTGAGGTCAAAACCATGACTTTTGAAGCTACGGGCCTATTTTGAATGATGCAATTCTGTTTATAGTTTTAGCTCTGTCAGTTTTCTGTACGAAGTATAATTGTATTCAGACTTTGAGCAATGATAAAATTGAACATTACGATGATCGATTTGAGAAAAGGCTTTTTTAGAGCATATTCAACATAATTTCTTTTAATTGCTTGTAGGAAATGTGAAGGAAATTTCACAGTTTTTTAAAGGAATTTTTAGTGAAAATAAGGAGAAAAAAAGGATTTTCTTATTTTCCAAGGTGGAAGCACTGGAATGAATCTGCTTTCACATATTGTGTTGTGGTTTGTCAAAGTTTAGCATCGCTTGGAGTAAAAAAACTCGGTATGTCTTCAATTGTGACAAGTATTCTCAGTTCAACACTTGGTTTATTATGGAATAAGGTCCGAGACTCGACGGCAGACAACCTCAAAGACGGGGATGTAACCGATGCAGAAATTCGTAAGATTGTCGTACGCGAATTAAATGATATCAAGTCTAAAATCGATGGCCTTTCCCGATCAACTTTACTCAACAGTTATAACTCGTTAGGAGAAGGAGTTGAGTTACTCAGTGTTTCTCTTGATAAATCAAATCCCGAGCAGAGAGCGAACGAAACTCAGGACGAACCAGGTGAACCTTCGAGCGTTATTCAGTCTGGTATCTTAAACCAAGCAATAGAGCTTCCTCGCGCCATGGAAAAGCTTAAAATCAACTCGGACAGAAAGTTTGAAACTGCGAGGGAAAGATTCAAAGATGCGCGCAAGACAGCAGCCACTGCTTTCTGGAATGAGTCACTTAGTATCGAAGATCGAATTTTTGCCGCGAAGCTACGAATAGTTTCAGAAATACTGGAACATCTCGATAGTCCTGAGATCGCAATCACTGGGTGTTTGTCGTTTTTAAAGAAGCTTCATAGCTTACCAGCCATTCAAGAGATATTCTCGGTGTATTTGAACGGTGGAGTCAAATCGTTGTTGAATAAAACACAACGAGTGGAGAACGTCAAGTCGGTTATGTTAATGAACTATGTGTTGTTTCAGTATGTTTGGAAATTCAGCAGCAAGTATTTGTCTGAAGTGTTCGACGACATGCCAACGATTAAACTTCCTGATCGTAGTTTTCACCCAACAAGAAATTGGAACGAAATTTCAACAAGAGAGTCTATGGGAGAGGAATTGCTTCATCCTCCCTACGAACAGTTCCTTGATGAAAAAATAGTGATGGGCGATACTTCGATACCAAGTATCGATACTCACCGATATTTATGATTTGCAGTAAATATCGATACTTGACCAGTGGCTGCAAAATTTCGATACTGAGCCTACAGTATTTTAGGTCAGCGTTTTCCACCAAAAAGTATAAAAAATTTGATTTATTTTTTTTTGTTCGTCACTTTTTTGTTCCTTAGTTCTTTAATTATACGCTACCAATCACAACAATTTCTGCCCATTTTTCATTTCGCGAAAAAACAAAGGGAAAAGCCAAAAATGTGAGTGGATAAATGCACGTTACGGTTTGGTATATGAAATTACAAACGGTAAAAAACGGCTCAATTTTCTGGTATCGGTATCGAAATTTGGTATCGATACCACTACAAATTGTCTGGTATCGAAGCGGTATCGTATCGATTTGAAAAAGCTGGTATCGCCCATCACTATGAAAAAATAATGCCCGCCTTATCTGCTGTGAACAGTCAGGGGGATGTTCTTACTGTCCCTGATACTGGGTCTCGTGACGACATCATGATTATCCATGAGACAGGAAAAATCAAACGGGTTGAAATACCTGAATTTGCAGGTTATATTTTAAAGGCGCTTGCTGTTGATATGAATAACAATATTTACGTGGTGAGAGGACGTTCTCGTGAAGTATTCATATTGACGATATTGGACGAGAATTACAATGTAAAAGCAAATCATACATTGGATTTTCTCGAGGACAAAAGTGTGTTGTCTTCAGTTAAGATCGCGATATGCAAAGACGATGATATTATCATCATCCAACACGAAGACCCTCATGTGTATGTTTGTGACAAGACGTGTCAATTGAAATACAAGTTTAAACGTGACTCGAAGTTGCCATTTTCATTGAGTATTTCCCAGCAGAATGAAATCATGATACCAAAAGACGATCATACGGCGGTTCAAATATACACCAAGGGCGAGAAAGGAAATCTGAAGACAACAATAAAAGTCCCAGAAGGTCATGAGGTATGGAATGTCGCATTTCACTCCAAAATTGGTAAAATATTGGTTTTAACAAGAGTTAAGGAAAAAGATTGCTATTTCATTCTGTGCTACCCTGAAGCAGGCGGGGAGCTGGAGACTCTCACCTTCTGTTGTAAAGATAAAAATTTCTTCTTTGAATTCACCCCAAAACTGGTATCCCATCCCAAGGGTCCTGTTGTTGTTGTAAGACACAGAAGCATCATTTACCTTCAATGGGATTTAGTATGAACAAATATTTTCTGCATAAAACACAGTAAATACTTGTCTGAAATAGTGCAACTTTGAGTTAACTAAAGCAAACAAGAGATGCAGCATGGTTTATATAATTTTTGAATTATTTAAAAAAGATAACGTAGTTGTGAACTCTTCACACGGGACTTGAAAACTTGGCTAATTGTTTGAGATTGTCTAATTTTTCGCTAGGAGTTGTAAATGTACAGCATCAATTAGGCCCGTTTCAGATGACGAACTTTCCATGTGCCAAACCTAATGCAAATTAGCAAAATCTGTTGTTCCGCAGATCATTAATCGAGACTGCAGGTAAGCAAACATGATCATGTGCCGTTGATCGCAAATATTTCTCTGAATAGCAACATGCTCATGTCTTTCGCAGAGCTAGCAGAGGCTAGGCGATATAAAAACAATTACTTGATGATGCAATTTTTGTTTTAACAGAGTTTTTGATATCATTCTGTTCCACTCTCCTCAAGTTGGTGTTAAGCAGGGTAAGTTGCTATCAGTAAAAGATAATTTTTTGTAAAATTTTATAAATATATATAGATATTTTACCACTTCCGATTTCACTCGCTGTATTTACTGCGCTTTTGGTGGTGAATGATTGCATTTATGCTCCTTTACTAATGGCAAGTCAATCAACCAACTCAAAAATCTTTGAGATTTGGCATGAAGAGGAGTAAAAAGGAAAGATTGACTATGTTGTCCTTGGTCATAAGACATTTCAAATTTTAACTGCGACTGACCAGATAAAACAATTCGATATCAAAATATATAGAACACTTCAAAAACACAGAAAAAAGCAAGAGGCATGTAAAATACACACCAAAAAACGAGGCATGTAAAATACACACCAAATAAGTTTAAAACAAACCAGATGCAAATATATCAATACACACGAATATGAAAAATGCTGAAATATTTTAAATAAAAGAAGTGTATTTGAAACTATATGTAAGTCTAAATTTGGCAGGTGAAATGGGAGGTAAATCAATGTCAATGCTATATAGTGGTTCAAAGTCTAAGAGTTCAAGTCCAAGGGGCAAAGATCAAGACACACGCAAATATATAAATTAAATAGAAAATATCATTCATAAAAAATAATGAACACATGGTTGCCAACTCTCACGGATCCACCGTGAGCATTACGGATTTTACTAAAGTCTCACGGTAGGCTCACGGGTTGTTGATATCTCACGGAAACCTCACGGATTCTCACGGATTTCGAAAATAACCCAACTTGTAATTAAATATGTTAGCTTTGTTGCACATTTTAAGTATTAAGAGTGACTTCTTTTGCATCAAATTACAGAAAACTCTTTTCTTCTGAAAAAATTAACGCTATTTTAATTTAATAAGCCAAAAATAGATCATCAAAACATCGCTACTTGCAACATCGTACCCAGGGCCTATCCCTAATCCGCCCAAATTTTTGAATATGACTCCATATTTTAAAACATTTTCCGCTCGGCGCCAACCATGGTCGCGCCTCGTGGATCTCCCAAGCAAAATCTCACGGATCTGTTTTTCCCAAAGTTGGCAACTATGTGAACATTATAATAAATATAAGTTGATTGAGTGCTCTGTTTTTCAAATATTTAACGCTATGCATAAAAAGCCAACACGTGTTATCCTAAATTCGGCAAGTCAAATCGAAGCTGTATTAATGTTGTATCAAATGTCAATGGTATAATTATACTGTATGTATCCGAGGGGCAAAGAACGGCACACACACAAAGACTGAATAGAAAATATCAATTATCATTCACCAATAACAATAAATATCGACAAATTTGAGTTGACTGAGTGCCCTGTCTTTCAAATATTTAATGCTTTGCATATAAAGAAGCCACCAGTGTTATAAAATTCAAAGTCCCGGGGCAAAGAACACGCACAAATATGTAAATTTAATAGCGAATAATTATGAATGGCAATGCGCATAAATGTCAATAAATATAAGCTAACTGTCTTTCAAATATACAACGCTTTGTTGTTTGATTATTCTTTGTTAAGGCCAAACCACCAATAGCGCAGCAAATGCAGCGAGTGAAATCGGAAGTGGTAAAATATCTGTATATCTATAAGATTTTACAAAACATTATCTTTTACTGACAGCAACTTACCGTGCTTAACACCAACTTGAGGAGAGTGGAACAGAATGATATCAAAAACTCTGTTAAAACAAAAATTGCATCATCAAGTAATTGTTCTTTATATCGCCTAGCCTCTGTTGGCTGAGCCTGGCTCTGCGAAAGGCATGAGCACGTTGTTATTCAGAGATATATTTGCGATCAACGGCACATGATCATGTTTGCTTACCTGCAGTCTCGATTAATGATCTGCGAATGTAATAATCAGCGATAAAATGAGGGTAAAAAAGCTAAGAAACTGGCAATCACAAAATTTTTTAACTGTTCACCAGAATGCCCAATGGAAAAGGAAGCACATTGAAGCACATGGGAAGAAACAGTATAATTATATAAACTTGATTCACGCATAGCATTGTGGGTCTATCTAATATTCGACCACAATGCAATGCGCTAAAGCAAAATTTAAAAAATTCCCAACTACATCAATTAGGTCTGCTACCTTGCTCGCTCGCCCCAGGCTCGCCCGCTGCGGCAGCAATCAACATTATTACATAATGTAACATCCAGCAGACATTCCTATCCAGCAGGTAGCCAAGATTATTGGTTGCCTAGTCTCCTCCTTACCTGTAGTTCAGTATGGGGCTCTTCAGACCTTAGAGCTAAGGGTAATTTTGATTCCTCTATGACTGTCTCTGAGGATGGCTTGATAGAGTTACGATGGTGGGTCACCCATCTTGAAGAGAGTTTTAGATTTCTTTTCATTCCTCCTATTGATATAACTATATACTCTGATGCACCCCTAGAAAGATGGGGAGCTGTACTAGGTGATACATCTTCAGGGGAAAGATGGTCGCCAGATGAATGCACCCATCACATAAACTACATTGAACTTTTGGCTGCATTTTTTGCCCTTAAACTGTTCTGCATCACTCTTAAGTGGTGTAAGCATGTAAAACTCATGATAGATAACACCGCAGCAGTAGCTGTAATAAATAACATGGGTTCTTGTCATCGCAGTATTTGCCGCTCTATGGGCTGCGAAATCTGGGAATTTTGTATGAAATACAACACTTGGCTTACTGCTGCTCACATTCCTGGTTCGCAGAATGTCTTAACACGCAAAGAATCTCGTCATTTTTATAATCCAGATAGCGAATGGAAACCAAACCATTGTCATTACATAATGCGCTCAGTACCTTGAATTTTCAAACTTAGATGAATCTTTTTGCATCACACTTAGATATAAAACAGTTCGCAACATATTGCTCTTATCCGCCAGATCTTGAAGCAGTGTTCGTTGATGCTTTCTCTATTTCGTGGATTGACTTGAAATTTTATTGTTTCCCGCCGTTTAGTTTTCTGTTACAGGCTGTAAAGAAAATAATTCAGGAGCATGCTAAGGGAATTTTAGTAATTTTCGACTGTCCCACCCAGCCTTGGTATCCTTCGCTAGCCTCTCTTCATGTTCCACCTCCTGTGCATAACCCCCCCCATATAGGGATCAAAGGGTGCCGACACAATAGGTTCACGTGAACAAAAATCACGATTCACGTGGACAAAGACCATGCGTTTGCACGTGGGCATGGGTCTTGGATCATGTGAACAAAGAAGTCATGATTCATGTGGACAATGACCATGAGGTACATGTGAACAGGGATCATAGATCATGTGGGATGGAGATTTTCCATCACGTGAATAGGAATCAATCATTGAACATGTGTACAGTAGGATGCATTTAGAGTGTAAATGAGATCATTTACAATTATTTTAATATGTTATAAAATTTAAAAGATAATTCACAAATTTCTTCTGCTTTTGCCTCGTTCACGGAGATCTACCCCAGCCAAGAAGCATTTTATAATTTTAATATAGTAGCTATAAACTTTTTTTTTTTTTAAAAGACCCCGACTATTCTTACATGGAATATTTCGGTTTACAAACACAAAAAATAGTCCAAGAAATACTCCAAACATTTTGCTAAATTACTTCCTTTCTGCCGAGTATACGTCCATCAATTGCAAGTATGGCAGCGCGAATATTAGTTCAAATTCTGTTTTGTGGATTTGCGGTTCCTTAGCACATCATATGCTTCGCCAACTGCTTGCCAAAGCTTAGTTTTGTTCTCCTCTGCTTTTGCCTCATTTACGCAGATCCATCAACCAACCGATCTGGGCTCCTTTTGCTGATTTTTTCAATTTTAACTTCCTCTGTATGAATTTTATTATAATGTGAGCCATAATCTCATCTCTGGCTAAAGTTTTCACTATTGTTAAATCAGCACCGTACATTTGTTTAAATGAATGAGTCATTTTAGAATGAGTACATTGGTGCTTAAGAAATGTAAATCAAGAGATTTCGCTCGGTTGCACACATCAAGTCAGATCCTGTTTACACTGTACCCGATTCGCATGGTCACGACATCAGTTTAAGTTGTTTTACAGTATATTTGTCCCCCAGAACTTTTTTTTGTCAGATCATGCTAAAGTAACCATACTACCAAACGTTTGGAGGTGAAACTCCCGTTGACATGATTAATTTTGATGTCGTGACCATGCAATCGGGACTAAGAGGCTACTTTTGGGATGTAAATTAGGCGCTTGAAAAATTAAATGCGTGGGAAGAGCACGTTGTGGATGTAAATGAGGCCGGCTAGCAAATTATATGCATGGAGAAAGCACGTTGTGGATGTAAATGAGGGGCGTGCGAAATTAGACAAACGTGGGTATGCTAAAGAGGAATGTGAGACCACATGAACAGAGTGTGCAAGTGGTGTGATTAACACGTCGTCTACGCAAATGAATAATCCTTGAAAGTAATATGGGTTACAATTTTGTGGAATGAGCCGATGAGCACATGCGTATAACTGCTCATAATTGCTCGTAACTGCTCATGAGAACATGCTCA